CTGCCCACAGCTGGGGACAGGAAGGGTGAACTCTGCCTGGCCTGCTGAACTAACTCTCACCTGGCTTCTGCTCAGGCTCTGTGGTTAACATCTCTGCGGCGTACCAACAGACTTTCTCTGAAAATCTAAGTTTCTCTGAATCTCTGAGGTGGCAGGATTCTGAGAAACCTGGCAGCGGCCTGGTCACCGCCATGAGAGCACTAGCTGAATTATACGCACATACACCCAGGAACGACACCTCCATTTTTAACACACAGTGAGTTCGGGCCCTGGTGCTGATGCTGACACTGGCAGGTAGGAGCCTTCAGCCATCACGTTCATGCATCCCACAGACTGGCAGAGCCTGGCTTGTGCCTTCCCCATCACCTAGCCCCGTGACGTTATTGTAAGAGTTAATCATGCAAGTGCTCAGTACCTGGGCACAGTACCTGACACTTCGCTGACCTGATTGTATTTGCAGCACCCCTGTCGTGTGGACAAGCTTGGCATTCTCCCCATCATATTACAGATAAGGAAATGGAGGCTCTCAGAGCTCACCTGTCAGACTCAAAGAACCTTCTTCACTGGCTGGACATGGGCTGGAGCCCTGGCATCTTGAAAGTAAGACAGGCAGGGCCCAGGGCATTGGGGTCCAGTGGCACTAAAATCTCCTCTGAATGGGGGTTGGTTGGGAGTGATACTGGCCTCCCTCTCCCCCCAGTCTGTCAGAACTGGCCCCGGCTCTTTCCCCACGGGTAATGTTTGTGGGAATGAGAGCAAAGAGGCTTGGGAAAAATCTAGGACAGGCTGGGTCTCATAATCTGGGGAAAGTAAAGGGTGTCCCGGCCTCCTAACTCCTGCATTCTGGGGCTCCCAGGGTCATCTACTCACCTCCTCCCCTTCCATACACTGCTCCTGCGTCTTCACCCATACCCAGTGGTCCAAGCGCAGTTACGGCAAGGGAAGTGTGGTCCAGCTGTGTCCCTGCCCCGGGGGAAAAGGAACTGGCCATCCTGAAGAGTCTCTGCCACGTCATTCTCATCTGAAATTATCTCCTTCATTTGTTCACAGAAGCAATGCATTGAATAAGAAGGCTTTGCCTGTCTCCCGCGCTGGACCCCGAGCTCCCTGAAGACAGGGGTCTTGTCTGTCTAGTTCACTGTGCATCTCCAGCTCCTAGAACACAGTAAGTGCTCTACAAATATGGGTGAACGAATTGCTAAAGCTCAGAGCCTCTTTTCAAGGAGGGAAATGCAAGGTCTGGACTTGGAGGGCTGGTCACAAGACGAGGGGGTTTGGAGGAGATGAGTCCTGCTAGGGTGTTAGGGAAAGTCACCCATTGCTGCATCACCACCTACCATGAAACTTAACGGCTTAAATCAACAATCGTTTTGTTTGCTCACGATTGTGTAATTTGGGAGGAGTTCAGCAGGTGTGCCTTGTCTCTGCTCCACAGTGTCAACTGGGACCGAAGGATCCGCTTCCAAGACGGCTCACTCTAAGTCGGCCGCTGGCTGTTGGTTTCACACAGGCCTCTCCGCAGGGCTGCTTGGGTTTTCTTGCCGCGTGATGACTGGGTTCTAAGAGTGAGTATACCAAAGACAGGAAGTAGAAGCGGTCTGGCCTCTTAAGGTCTGGGCCCAGAAACTGTCATTGCATCATGTCCTCCATATTTTACTGGTTAAAAAGTCCCAGAGCCAAGGGGCTCTTGATGGAAAGAGTGTCAAAAAGTTTTGGGGCCCTGCCTAAAACCATCACAGAAGGCTTCCTGGAGGAGAGGTGTGAGTAGCTACAAACATTAGAGGTTTGAACAGCACCTTTAAGCTCTTCGGTATGGCTGGAGCGGGACTACCTTGGACTACCGCAGCATGGCCGAGGCCTCGCTCTGGCTACCCTGAAGAAGCCTCCAGTCAAAGGGCGTGGTGGATTGTATTCTCCCAATGTGGCCATAGCACTTCCTGTCTCACACATGCTTCCAGAATGTTGCCTATTTCAACAACTGGAATCTATTTCCCCTCCCCTTGAAACGGGACGGACGTCTGACTACCTCAATGAAAAGACTGGGGCAGAAGCGACGCTGTGTGACTTCTGAGGCTAGGTCATAAAAGGTGACAGGACTTCCTGTTGGTGCTCACTCTCTCTCTCTCTCTCCAGACACTCGCTCTTGGAACTGAGGCACCATGCTGCAAGGAAGCCCAGGCCACGTGAAGAGGCCACTTTGGGGATCCCAGCAGATAGCCCATGATCCTGGCATCAACTGTCAGGCGTCTAAGTGAGCCAATTCAGAGGACCCTGGCCCCCAGCCTTCGAGTCTTCCATCAGAGGCACCAGTGACAAACCATCCTCACCACGTTCTGTCTGCATTCCGGACCCACACGACCCATGGGCATGATAAATGATTACTTAATGCCAACTTTTGAGTGATTTGTTGGGTAGCCATGGTAACTGGCACAGTGGGCAAAGTGAAATATAACGAGACCTCCAGAAAGCAGTTCCACGGGCAGGAGGAGTCTGGTGGAAACTCACCAGAACGGTCCGGCCATTGAAGCTGGCTTCCACCAGCTATAAACTGGGGAGCAAGGGAAGGGGTTTTGGACAGAGAAAAGGGCATATGTGAGGCCTTGAGCCAGGAAGGGGCCTAGCAGGAAGAAGGTTAGTGGGCTAGCACACAGCCCTGTGGGGACAGGGTAGGTGGTACAAGGGGCCACCCTTCATCCTGGGCACTTGGAGGAGAGCCCTGGGTCAGATCCGCTTCCAGGTAAGGAGGGGGGACGGTAAGTCAGAGGAACAAGGCCCAGCGAGCGAGAACGAGGCCTCGAGGCCTCTGCTGTGCAGGTGCGTGGGTAAGAGGGCCTGCCCAAGCTGTGGGATGGGAGGCTGTGCGGGAACCAGACGCTCCTGGATGGATGCGAGGCTAGGACCAGAAGCTGAGGTGGCAGGAGGTGGGGATCCCCATGCTGAGGGACAAGGGGAAGGGCAGCGTACGATGCTCTTCTTTCGACAGCATGGCCTTTGTTAGCTGTCCTTCCTCTGGGAAGATCCCCAGGGGATGTGACATCTACTGCAGTCCCTTTCCTCCTTCAGTTACACCTTGTGACGAAACTCTTTATCCCTCTGAGACAGACAGACACAGGAGAGTGTGGCTGCTTCCTCAACAACGGCTGCCGTGAGCTCAGGCCTCAGGTGTCTGCTGGGGTCCCCCAGCTGGGTACGCTTTCTGGCCAGAACTGCTGCGAGAGCGTCAAGCCTACATTACAGCACATGCCTGGGGGAAACGCATCCTGCTTGGTGGCTGTCCGTGCACCCTCCTCCCCGGATCCTAGCTCTTGGCGGGGCCTTGCAGGGAATAGGGTGTCCCTGCCTCGCCGCAGGAGGAGGATGGCAGGCTGGGCCTAGGTCACTGGTCTCACCTCTGAGCCTTCCGGAGCCTCTCCGGCCAGAGGACTTCCCTGGGCTCTCTCGGTACCGAAACCTTTTCTGGCGTTCCTGGCAGCCACGTGTCTCTTCCCCCCTTTCCCGGCAACCCGTGCATCCTGGCATCCAAGCAGCCTGACGCTTTGAGGGTATTGTGTGGAGCCTGCTGAAGGAACAAGTGGCCGAGGCCGAATGCATGCTCAGGGTCCACGCATCAACCATCTGTGCCTCCCGGGCCCTTCACCTTTCTGTGGGAAGGGTCCTTTCTCGCCACAGATGCGCCTCCCAGAATGCACAAATTTCTGGTGACACACACCCTTAAGAGGGCAAGAATGTGGCCTGACAGAGACAAGTTACAAAATAAAAACAAAGCTGTCGGTGGTCCCCCTAGTGGTGCATTTCGGGGAGGAGTTGGGGACTTGGTGGAGCAGTCCGAGGGTGCCTCGGCCCTGGGTGGGACTGGTGACTCCTCTGCACAGCTGTCTGTGAGGCCAGAGGACCCCCCTTGACCACCTGCAACCCGTTCCCACTTACCCATCACCCTGGCTACAGGGGAGGCAGGGACAAGGCTTCTGCCTGTAGAAGGGGTCCTGGAAGGAGGATGTGTTGTTAGTGCGATTCCCCGATTCCCCGGGGCTGGCCCTGAGAGAAGATTGAAGAGTGGCTTAAGTGGGAGAAGCAAAATGCCAAGGAGGAGTGGGGAAGGGAGTCAGGAGGGGAAGGCACTCAGCACCTGGACTCAACCCTGCAGGGAAGCCTCCCTCCCCCGCCAGCCTGCACTCACTGCTCCTCAGCCAGAGCAGAGCCCCTCCCGGGAGATGGGGCCCCAAAGCTCTCAGGCACAGATGTAGGTAGTGCAGGAGGATGAGCCAGCTGCCCGGAAGTGGTCTTCCCAGAGGATACGGGTGGAGCCCCCATCATACCTGCCGCACAGGGTCCCTGCTCCCGGCGGCCAGCGAGGGATGCCAGCGTGCGTGGCTGTCACTGGTCACCATCACCAGCACGAGCCACCTGAGAAGTGTGCCGGGCCCTCCAACTTTTTCATGGCAGAACCTGTGGATAATAAAGTTGCTTGGGGGAATGGGTTGTGACCCATGGGAGGGAAAGTCCCTTGCTGGCTGGGCCTGGGACAGAGACCTAGGCCAGGGATGGGCCCACGCACAAATCCTGGCAGTGGCACAAAGGTATCACTGGCCTCATGGCTCTACCTAAGCTAAAAGGATCCCCCTTACCTTTCCTAGTTTGTCAGTTAAGACTTGGGGAAGCCCTCCCCACTGTGGCCCTGCATCAAACCCTGTGTTAGGTGGGCATAAGTGAGGCTACCAGGGCAAACCTGGTGTGGAGGGGAGACGGTGCAGAGGGGAGGGCAAGCCGTTGGGGCCACACCCCTAAATGACTTCTTGGAGCAGCGGGCCTAGCAGGGCCCAAATTGGGGAAGAAGGGACTGGCACGGTTAGGCGTGAGCCCTAGGGAAGTGCCTCATGCAGTGACATGGGTGAGGCTGGGCTGGGGGCCCTGCTGGCCATGTCCTGGACTGGTGTCCTGTGACTCAGGCCTGCTCAGCATCTTGCCCTGGTCCCCCACCCAGAACAAGTCAAGCTACATTCTCAGTTTCACATTAGTCTTTTATTATAACTGTATTTAATGGGATCACTTTGCCAAAAGGAGAAGTCATTTCTTAAATCAGTGTGAGTTACAGCGTAAAGATGAATGAGAACAAAGCAATAGGATATAAATGGCACAACAGGATATTCCATAAGTCAAATGAATTGTGCCATCATGAGACAAATTATTATGACAACTTTTACATCAAAGTGGTCTCAAGCCTGTTTACAGGAACTTTAGATTTCTTTTCAACACTATAAAAAGAGAGCTTTTGAAAGTAACACGGGGGGTGGGGTGGGGTGGGGAAGCGGTTTTGGCCCGTGAGAAGGAAGCTCGGCTTGCCAGGTGCCTCCTTAATTCATCCCGGCCTCCTCTCCCTGTCCCACGGCCCCCCAGAGCCCCTGTTCTGTACACATGGGGGCGGGGACCGGTGTGCACCTGCAGGGGAGGGGGATGGAATGATGGCATGGCCTGGCCTCCACAGGACAGCCACTGGGAGGGCCTGCATCGCCCCTCACCCTGCTCCCCGCAACACTGGTTCTGTAACAGCCCCTGGAGGCAACTTCTTAAGTAAACAATAAAATGAAAACAAAAATAGTAAATTTAAGTCACCTCTGGCAGATTACCTATCTTTAGGAGACAACGTAACTGCCACTGAGTTTTGTATTTGTTCATCGTCTCTGACAAAGTGGAGGAGTCCTTCGTGTTAGCGGTGGGCAATCAGACCCGAAGGACTAATGAACTCTGTCAGATGCAGAGAAGGCAAAGCACAGGGAGGCCTCGGGTGTATTTTTAGTCACACTTATTCCGCAGTGGTATTACTTCTTACCAGATTGCAGTTAGAAGTGAGCATTTGCAGGAGATCACCTTTGGAAGAAGAATCCAGTATAATTAAATGTTTAAAGTGTTATAAGACCCCTTGGCATATACAAAAGGTAAGGCAAAGTCATAATGACTTTCTTTCTCTAATCTGTAGCTCTCATATGTAATGTACAGAGAGAAAATTTAACTCAAATTTCCAAACTGATCAGAGAGGAATGCATGAAACACAGACACACGTATTAAAAAAGTGGATGACAGAATTCATCTAAGCTTTACATATATAAAATCTATTTAACTGCTAATAATCAAAACATGAGAGGGTTCCACTGATTATATTTGTTAAAGAAAAATAAAAAGGTTTCATATATTCAGGATTTAAAAAAATGTGCAATGAAACAGAAGTACCTGATAAAATAATAAAAAAGGAACACATTCTTTTAATAGCACTGTAACTAATAAAAATGCAAACAATGCTCGACTATGAAAAATAACAAGTCACTTAAAACGACTGAGAGAGTAATACAATTCTCAAACCCCATGGATCTATGGAAAGTGGAGGGTGGCACTGCCCACGTCCCACTCCCCCTCGTGCCTCCTTCCTCTGAGGGGGGAGCAGCGCACTGGGGACCGCAGAAGCAACAGCTCTGAGGGACCCCATCGCTTCCCGTGTAGCAGAGACACGGAAGCACAGAACGGAGGACCTGCCCCTGGTGTGCTGGCGGGCCGGGGGTGTTCAGTGACTCGCAGACACCCGGCCGACTGCGACTGCAGGGAGGGAGCCTAGAGCCTTGTCAGGGTGCTGGCTGTCTGGCAGCTCCCGTGTGCCCACTGACACTGGACTATCACGACTCTAGCTCTCAGGGCCAAGGAAATGCTCGAAGCGAGCAGACGGCTGTCCGCCACTGCGAGGGGACAGCCAGCTCTGTGGCCCTTTCCAGCCGCTGTCCTGGAGCCCTGGCGAGGATGGCTCCAGGCTTCTTACCTTAGAACCGAAAACACCAACAGCTCCCCAAACCAGGTCCTCGGAGAGAAAATAATGGCAACCCGGTGCAGCTGCAAGGCCACTCACTGCATGGGGACCTTGGGAGCATACAAAGTGTCTTCAAGGCGACACACAGTAACTTACTCAGTCACTCCCACAGGGGGCTGGGCAGACACTCAGGACGCTCATCAGTGTATCTCTGAGTGACCATGGAAGGCCCAACAACCCTGTTATCTGAGCGAAACCGGGGTTGTCATTCCTCTTCCAGCTCACGCGTTCAGAGATTTTCCTGCTAGAGGTTAAGAGCAAATCTGAGCTACTTAGAACCCTCTCTGTAGTGGCTGACTCTCGAGTCGTCACTAGTTTTTGGAGAGCGAGAGCACGTGGGAAATGAGGTCATTATCACGTTTGTCTGTAGAGAGATACATGGTTAGCAGTGGGAAGGATGTACACGGTGTGTATTCTTTCAAAGTTAGCTTTTCGCTCGCGGGCATGACAGGTTCCGCTGCCCAGAGGCCTTGCCATCCTCAGAGGAGAGGCCCTAAGAGCCAGTCACCTCAGGGCAGGGGCACTGTGGCTCTCCTGTCAGAACTCCTGCTTGGGCACAGGCGAGGGGAAGTGTCCTCTATAGAGACTTCTCCTTAAGGAGACAAACAGCTCCTGTGATGCTTTCTGCCCAGTGCGATTCCATAAGCTGCCTACGGAAAAGCACAAATCCCCACCCTGTGCTGAAGCCCGGGGAGGCGCAGCCACGCCAGACCTGGTCCTGCCCCAGCGGTGGTGCCTGGGACGCAGTGCACAACCGAACCCAGGCCCTGCAGCTCCTACACTTGGCTCCCAGCAAGGAAGGGCTGTGCAGAAATCCCACACCTTCCTGACATCTGGAATGTTCTGCGGGAAGCCCTGCTCCCCCAGAAGGGACTCCAGGTCTAGTTCCCTGTTACTGCTACTTTAAGGCCAATGGGAGATCCTGACTCTGGATGGGAATGAGTTTGGGTTTTTCCCTTTACTTCTCAATTGACAGGTGACAAATGTATTCTAGCGTCAAAGCTACAGAGGCTTTACCAGAAAACTGAGAGATGTTTATCCCACAAGTCAGGGTCACATTTACCAATTCAAGGAAGTAATATTGTTACAACTTTTGAAATCAGTGCAGCAAAGATTGGCTCAACGTGACCTTGCTTTCTGGTTGTGAAAGATCCTAAGAGGAGAAATACAGTTGTCTGAGGAGGGTCAGTGATGGCCAGAGTCGATCTGGCCTGAGGTCTGGAAATGTACTCTTTAAGAAATGAAAAAAATCTAACTCCCATCACACTGAAATAGGATTCCTAAGTTTAGACCCTGTTTCTAAAGATCGCTGTAACTTTCTGAAAGGTCAGTGATGGGTTTTTTTCCAGGCCTGGAATCTACCAGTTCTAGTCCATTCTGTTGTATTTGGCTCTGCTGTATGGCTTCCCAAAGGAGGAATGAAAGACGCTGAGATACAGATTTCCAGAGAGAAAGCCTTCTTGATATCAATCGATTTTCCTACGCCTGATGCTCTGAGGGAGGGAAGATTTGAAACCAACTCTTCTTCCTTCTCTAGTTATAATTAAAGGAGTTGCCACACCTAATTCTTAGTTGGGGAGAAGAGGACAGAGGAAAAGTGATTCTAATTGTGGTTTGGTCTTTTTTTTGACAGTGAGCATGGTCCTGGATACTTAACCCAGGTCCACCTCAGAGGAAGGGTGGGGTGGGACGAGGTAAGGGCCACGAAAGCCCTGTCTACGTTCTGGTGAACATCAGTCCGTGTGCTCTGTGGCCCCGTCTGCCTCTCTCTGGAGGGTTCCGATGGGCTGCGCTAGGGCCACAGGCCTGCTGGGAAGGAAGTGTTGGTTTCAGAGGGGTCTCCGCTGGGGGAGCCTCAGGCAGACCCTGGGGCCGCTGAGGGGGGTGGCCAGTCCCTACAAGGAAAGCCAAGGGCACTGTGGTCAGATGTCCAGGGGGCTCACAATGGTGAAGCCAGAGTCCTTGCTGTTGCTGCTGCTGTCCTCATCGGGGCTGGAGCTGGGGTTGCTGGAGGAAGCTGAGGCTGGGCCCATCAGTGGGTCAGAGAACACCAGAGGGGAGCGGGCCAGGGGCTCGCTTTTCCCAGAGGTGCTTCGGAGGGTGCGAAGAGGCTGAGCCTGGCCTGAGAAGGACCCCTTGGTGCTGCCCGTGTCGTCTTCTTTGGAGACCAGGATGAAGTCGTCTGCGCTCCCTCTGTCCGTGCGCCCTGGTGTTTCTGAAGAGGACTGTGAAGCAGAGTCAGAAGTAGAGGTGGATGAGAGAAGAATCCAGTGAAATGAGAGAACTAAGTAGTAGCCCTGGGAGCACTTCATGGAAGTTCAGGCCCCTGGCCTGATGCTCTTCCTTGGAAAGATGCGATGTTTGGCCAGGTGCTTCCCAGTGGCGGGGGGCCAGCTCCCCTGAAGCTGGATGCTGGGTTCCCAGGGCAATAGAGTAAATCTCCTGCCTGATAAGTTGAGAGAAGCCGGCTCAAGAGACAGCCAGCAGGCTGCAGACAGACTCCCTGCCAGCTGCACGTGGCACCCTGCCGTGCACATCACTCGTCTTCCTCGGGCTTTAATGTTCTCATCTGCGAAATGGGGATAAGGACAGCATCTGTGACCTAGTGTGTGGTCACCGTGCAGTGAGGTCATGTGCATGGATATGAATCACACAGAATTGGCTCCCTAATGTAAGCCCAGATCCGGAGCGGTTTTACTACCGGCTTAAAGAATACCTTCAGGAGGGCCTAATGTATGTATCTCATAACCAGCTCATCCCGGGTATGCGCTTAGGGGCCCCCTGGGACAATGGTGGCAAACACAAAAACCAGGAATGGTTAAGTGCCAAGTATATGGCAAAAGGTAGAAAGGCAGAAGTGCTTTACTGACCATGATTTTCCTTTCTTCTTAAGCAATTATGAGTAGCGTTCGTTTTTAACTAAAAATGCAGACATCTATGAACATGAGTAAGGGTTTTGGGTTAAGCCCGGAGAAGCCCCTGCCCGCCCTGACGTGAGGAAAGCTACAGCCTGACCAAGGATGTTCCAGAGCTGGCCAGGCGGAAGAAGTGCTGACATAAGCTGGTGTGGTACCCACACCTGCTCGACCACCCACCTCGCCTACTCTCCCATAGCGTGGGTGGGGGCTGGGGCGGGAGTCTGAGGTCTGACGACATGCGCACAGCACCGTGGCTGGAAGTGCCACCCGATCCTCTGGCCTCCAGACCAGTATGGCCTGGGCCACCGGTGGGCTGTGGGCAGAGCCTGGACAGGTAGCTGGCAACACTTCCAAGGGAAATCTGGGCTTGACTGACAGTGCTTTCTCTGAACTACATGTTCTTGGTGACATGCGCATGGTGAGTAGCTAAATAATGGCTCAGGTGCCTCTACCTTCTGACCCTTTGTCCACCTTTAAGATATTTAATTGGGAGAACAGAAACAGAATTAGCCTTGAGATCACAGGGCTTGAGACAACAGGTCTTGAAGTTCCTCATCTCAAGGTTTAAAGCTGTTTCCATTCCATCAACACATTAACTCTTACAAAACTGAGGAGACACACAGATCCTGGCACTCTGGTAGAAGGGGATGTGATCATAGCTGGTACTAGGGCAGTTTGGGAGAGAAAGACCATCCATTGTGAGGTGTACCCAGTCGGACGGTGCCACCCTTGGAGAGGCTGGAAGGGACATGTGAGTGGGGATTGTGCTCCCACGCATATATATGCACACGGGGTGCAGGGCAGGCTGGGCTGTGGGACCTCAGCTTCAACCTTCTACCTCCAAAGCGTGGACACTGTTCATGTGACCATTGTCCTGCACGGTAAACTGTGAAAACCTTGACCTCTCACCCCACGTAGGGTCTGTGGCTGGAACGCTGCCGGGCAGAGCTCATCTTAGTTTGAAAATAAAAAGAGCATGTACAGCAGGCCCTATTTTCAGAGTGACTACAGAAATACCACGACAACCCACTCTCCTTTGGCTTACAGTGAATACATTACAAGACTTGGAAGAGGAGAAATACGTTATAAAGCCTGTGACTGGAAGTAAAGATGAGGTTCCTGCCATCACTCTAATTATCTGGCACATTTCTGGGAAAGTAGTGAAGTCAAGGTACTAATCTTGGGTTACCCCCCTGCCTCCCATTCCCAGAAAAAATTATGGACTGACTCAGACAAAGCACGGCAGAGCTGGCAGGGCCTGACCTTCTTTTATTACCCCTCCTCACCTTTATATTACAGATCACAAAAGGAAGCCCATTTCAGAGGCCTGGTGGCCTGGCCATTGTCACAAAGCGAATTAAAAGATCTGGACTCTTCTGGACTCCTACCTAGAACTTTTTTCTAAACACAAAGATGCCTTCTTTCTGGATTTCCATAGCAGCCTTTGCTACTACCTGGTTCTGTTTATATCATTTACACAATCCTCTTTTTTTTTTTTGCCAAACACAAGCATATACTATACAACGGGAGGTTTCAATACATCAGTCCTGCCTAAAACTGGCCAGGACCAGCACAATATACAGCCCCCGGACCCCGACCTGCTGTCCTCGTCCTGCCTCATTTCTTACCTTGAGTTTAGGAACATGGTGGATGCAGGTGCGCCCAACTGTGGACTAGCTGTTCAAGAGAAGTGTGCTCTTTCTATGCTGATATAGAAGCACCCAGCCACAGGTGGATATTGAGTACTTAAAAGGTGGCTAGTGTGACGGAGGAACTGTATTTTTAACTTAAAGCCATTTAATCTTAATGAGTTTAAATTTAATTTTAGATAGACATCTGGCTAGTAGCTACTGTATTTAGACAATGCAGATATAGACCATACAAATAAAAATAGGGGCCCCAAGTACCAGTGAGGCACATGATGTGGGCTGGTTGACGAAAAGAATCTAGAGTCCTACAAGGTCCTGCCGTCTACTGCCATGGAGTTGAGTCAAGTTTACCAAAAAACTTCCAAACGAGTGTGTGAAGCACAGACTGGGAGGAAGGGGAAGAATGTGGCTCTTCCCATTCTACAGAATACAATTTTGCATCTGCCCTTTTCAGAGCTGGGGATACGATTTGTGAATCGAATGGAAAGAACAGTACTAACCAACATACTGGCAGGGAGTGAGGCACGTGCATTTCCAAAAAGGGAAAAGCCCTACTGAAGCTCCTGATGGGGAAGGGCACTGAGCCACCTGCCCCAAGGCGGTGAGCCTGACCCTCGGCATTGTCCTCTGCACGTACTTTCGTGCTAAACCAACATTCCCAACTTAGGAATGAGCTGTGGCACAACCCACCACACACCAAGACGTGGTGATTACATCTCCAGAAAATGTCTCCAAAGCCCGCCTCGCACTGTTGCCCCGGCCTCTGGCCCTCTAACTGGAAGCTCATCAGCGGGGACTACATCCCATACCCTGAGGACCCTGAACACTTGGCAGAGCAGGCCCTCAGCTCACCTTTGGGAGGCAGGAGGGAAAACGCCTTCAGAACACCCACCTGGCCCACACGTTCCCGTCCAGAGCCAGCCCCCCTCTGCCACCCTGGCCCCACAGGGTAAGAAAGTAAGTCCGCCAGTTCCAAGCCCTGACAGTCATCCCAAGGCTTGAGACACGGGTTCCTAAGGAAAGATGCTGGGCCAGGACTTCCAGCCTGGTGGTTCCTGTATGAATCTAGACCAGATCCCCGGGCACCGGGGCACAAGGCTCCAGACATCTGGCTCTCTATGCGACCTGTTGCTTCATCTGGGATTTGTCTTGCCTTTCCTCCCGTGAAGGCAAGAGGACAGCACTGCTTCCCTAATTCTTCCTTTCTCAGATAAAACCTCTTTCAGGAGTACAGGGTTGTTTTTTTTTTTGTTTGTTTTTATAAACTGCCAACATCCTTGGGGAAGAAGCCATGGCGGGAATGAGCAAAGAAGAAAAGCCCTGCTATTTTCCCTTTTCCCGCTTTTCTTCTTTTCCACTTAACCCTACAGAGGAACAGAGATGCAGAGAAGGCAGCTGTGGGGTCTCTGGGCACAGGATGGGTTGACTGTGTTTTAGAAGCGCACACAGAGGCAGGTCTCTTGGATGCTGCACAGGAGCGTGGCCCTGCCAGAGCAAGGGCATAGCCTATTTCGGGCCATCTACACCCCACGGCTGGCTCACCTTGAGTGTGCACACGGGTTCTGCTGGGGCAATGGCGGTAACAGGTAGGTTCTTACAAAATGAAAACTGGGAGTAACAATGGCAAAGTATAATCAAGAAGCTTTAAATTTAGCAAATTCATTAGTGCTTTTGAAAGGTCTTTTTCTGTAATATTTTTACACATTCAAATAAAAAAAATCATGTTAAATTTTAAAACAACATTGTCAATTAAAAATAGTTGGGGGGTGAGCCTAAACTCAACAAAATTTGAATGAAGAAATGATTACTGAAAAACATCTGCTTAGGGAAGGAGAATTTGGAGGAACTAATCAAATTAAACTTGCAATGTTAATGCTCTATTCATGTGGCTAAAAATGCAGACTAAATGCTCTATGAAAACTTTTTTTTTTTTAACGTTTATTCATTTTTTGAGACAGAGAGAGACACACAGCATGAATGGGGGAAGGTCAGAGAGAGAGGGAGACACAGAATCTGAAACAGGCTCCAGGCTCTGAGCTGTCAGCACAGAGCCTGACGCGGGGCTCGAACTCACGGACCGCGAGATCATGACCTGCGCCGAAGTCGGACGCCCAACCGACTGAGCCACCCAGGCGCCCCGAAAACTTCTTTTTAAAGCTGAATGAAATTAACCACACAAGCCTCTCTCTCCTTGAAAAGTACTCTTCAAACGAAAAAAATTCCCATTCTAACATATCATTTTGGTTTTTTCATCACAAAAACAATTTCTAAGTATCTGGATGCTCGGTTTTGAGAGAGAGCCTTAGATGAGATTTTGCTAATGTTCATTTTTCAAGATGAAACTTTGTAAGTCATGAAAAAGTGTATTATTGGGGATTTTTAGTCCTGTCAGAGAAAGTATAGTGAGGAAGCATGGTGGAGCTAGAAGCCTACTGGATTGGAACAGAAGTTCTGGAAACGTGATGCCTGTTGAGCCTATGCGCCTCTGAGGCCTTCATTTTCTCACTGGTAAAATAAGCAGACAGGACTAAGCACAAGAGGAATTTCTTGGATTCTTTCTCACTGGAAAATTCTATGTTCCTATGTTAGAATAAATTATATACTATGTCGACACCTTGAGAGCAGGGGTCAGCAAACTATGGCCCATAAGCCAAATTTGGTCCGTGGCCTGTTTTTGTATGGCTCTCAAGCTGAGAATAGCTTATACATTTTTAAAGGTTGTAAAAACAAAGAAACAAACACACCAAATACAAAAACAAATACGTGACATAGACCACATGTCACCTACAACTCCTAAAATATTAATTAGCTGATCCTTTACAGGAAGACTTCGCTGACCTCTCTCCCTTAGAGGATGGACATTAATGAGAAGCCCTCCTCCACGAAGGCAAAAAAAAGGTCTAGCCAACTGAAGTACACTCAGGAGAGCACTGGGAAAGAATGAACAGCACTTCCTGTGCTAACGGGGAATTGGGGCGTCAGCTAGAGGTAACCAATAGCTGAGGCAGAGATCTGGCTTTCTAATGTCACACAATAGGACTGGTAGGAGGTTCAGGCCAAAGCTGCTGCATACAGGCATGTAGGTTGTATACTGGACAACTCTGGGAGATAACCGCCTAATTGTTATCATTGTGAACGGTACCCCGTAGGGCACTAGGGTATGTAACTCGCACAGCTGTATACAGCACTTCTGGCTCAGGCCACCCGTGGTATTTCACAGCTGGACTTCACACACGGTAATTTGAAATGACTTTGGCAAAGTTTTCATTATTCCTTGCTTTGAAGAACTCTCATGAATGTGCCCCCATCCAGTTCATGTGACACAGTTCATCAGAGCTCTTATACCTGCTTGGTGGCCCCAGGTGTTTGGTCGCTCTGGCCTTGGCCTTGGCCCTGGCCACTGGAGCAGTAGTGATCATCTGAGATGGTGATCTGCTCATTCTCCTCAGCTTCCAGCTGACTCTGGTTGAAACGCAGGGAACCTTTTAGAATGTCTTTGATCTATTTTTCAAAAAAGAAGAAAATACATGAAAAAGGTGAATGGGTTTGTTTTGAAATGCTAGCTAAACCTCTAATACCTTTAAACTAGACTTATCATGGGCCATTTTTTAATAGGATGATGAATATATTACCACAAGAAAGGAATAACAGGAAAAAATCCAACTCTATCAAAGCCATGGACTTATTAATGACCAAGGAAAATTTCAGAGTCTTAATGGCCAGGCTCTCATGGGGTCAGACATGGGTGTCACATCCTGGGCAGTTATCTTAGAGCAGGAAGTGCCATTTGCCTACATACTCAGCCCCACTGAACGGCCCTTAGCTACTCAAGTGGCTGCACCCCAGCTGAACTGTTAATAACACAGGCAGACGGCTCTGAGAGCAGCACGCTCTTTTCATTAACGCGTATGTTCCACTCAGCCCTCCAAGGGTTGGGCGAGTGTGGTCCTTGTGGGTCTGAGGCCTGCCGTGGGTGGCTTGTGCTCCGAGGACAGCATGTGTTTACGGGTAAACAACTGAACATGCTGCCGGACCGGGCAACACCAGCTCTGGGTGAGGAACCAACTGAATGGCTTTGGTATGAGGAAGAAGCAAGGGTGAGAATGGAAAAGTAGCTTGGGCTACAAGCCAGTCAGACATAATCACTCGTAGGAGCACGAGGTGTAAAAAGGTGGCGGTTCAGGATGGGCTCTGTCTGGGAGGAAATGAGGGGCTGGGGGGATGTTGGCTTTAATATGTGCATGGTCCACCCTCCACAGGATGCCCTCCCCAACAAGCACTGAAAGATGGTCAGCGGGACACAAAGTCAGATCGATGGACATACCTGTTTTAATCCTGCCAGAGAAACCAGAATTTGATCTTCTTTTTCCAAATTTTCTTGTAATATCACATCTTGAATATTTACTGAAAATAGAAGAATGCTATTTTATAACTAATGCCCTGAGTATAACTTATCTGCTGCCACATCATTACTTGCTTGGAAATGTTTCTGTCCAATCTCGTAGTAAGTATTTCCACCAAGGACGCTCTGCCAAAGTGCAGATGAGGCAGGTGTGGGGGAGAGCAGAGGGGAGCACCGAGCCCGGTGAGCACAGCCTTCCCACCGACGAGACACAAATGTGTTCTTATGATGACAAATGTGTCTTCACTTCTGCAGAGAGACCAGGGCACCTCCTGCTAACCTACAATGTGAACAGTCTATAGAGCATTCATCCAGCCTCTGGGAGGAAGCGTTTCATTCTGAGCTTCCTACACTGACTCATGGTTCCATCGGGTTAACTCACCTCTGTCTCTGAAGACCAGGTCCTCCCAGGTGACTGAAGTCAGTAAAGACACCGTCTTTAAAGATTTAAACAGTAAAGCATGTTGTAAACTCAACAAAATGGTGAGAATAAAAGAACAAACTCAAGGCACCACAGGTTGCCATCGGACATCACTGCCTATGGAGTTTGCCTGACTTCACCCGGGGTCTTCACAGGAGCTACTTCTCTATGTCCTCTAGGAGGCTCACCCTCCATGTGAGAAGTCCTTCACCCAGGCCAGATCGGGGGGATCCAGCAAGTCAGCCGTGACCACCAGGCTCAGCATCACACTGAGCTGCACGGTCAACATGCAGCGGGCCTCGGCGCTCCCCCACGACACGCCTAAGGGACGCACACGGCCCTGTTGCTGGTGGGCCTGACTGAGCCGGGGTTCTCAGGAGAGAACAGGGGAGGAGGAAGAGCCCTCCCACACTTTCCCCCCCCCACCGGGGCTAGGCAGGAGAATGTGTGGGGTGAAGGGCAACTAAAACACACTTTAAAGAGGATACCAACATGCACACCAGTCGGAGAATCATGACAATAAGTAGGCTTACCCTCCACTAACATCTACTTGCTTATTTTGTGGCCTTAAATCACACCTACTTATACGCACGGGCCTTATAAGGCCCATGCTTAGTCACTCACTCAGTAGAGCGGTCTCAGTCTCGACTCGAGACTCCTCAGTTGTATGCCTGGCCCCCTACGGCCACCAGAGCTGTGTATCACTCCCTGCTGGCCCGCCCCTGCCCCACTGCTAGCGGAGGCAGGGCTGGCACACTGCTCTCTTGGCCCTGGGGGGCTGGGCCCACATCCGTGCAGACCAGCTCTTCCTCACTGTTCAACTCGGGTCCCATGATGCCTCTTCAGAGCAGCCTTCCTGCCCATCCAAACTAAGGGAGCCCAGGTCACAGAGCCTCTGGCCGCTGCCACATCATCTCTTTTCCTGTACTTTCACGAAGCACCTGTCACCATCTGGCATTCTCACATGCATTTGCTGGCGTGTCTATTGTCCACCTCCCCCAACGGAATACAAGCCCCAAGACTGTCTTGTTCAGGGCTATCCTCTCGGCCCTTGGCATGAGACCTACCTTTCAGGTACAGTGTAAGTCCTGACTGACTGACTGAACAAACGTGGGAAAACACTCTTGGAACTTGCATTTCAAAACACTGCTATGCTAAATATTTCCAAAAATATTTGCAGTTAAGGGAAAAGGCAATGACTGATACCGTCAACATGGGCCCAGCCTGACAGTTTGTTAGAATCTTCAATAGGAATAACTCTCTAACCCATGCTGACAAGTCCTCTCACACACCGCAGCAGAAAAACAGCAGCTTTTATTTATGCAGAAAACGTGACTGTAGTTTCTGGCTCATATAAAGGCCTGCTTCAAAACAAGAAAGCAAGATGAATGGGAATGGAATAATAGATATAATTAGAGAGTGAATGTTTCTGGTTTCCTTAAAAGCCTGTAACAATTTGTTCTCTCTCAACAGAAAAACAACGCAGAATCCACTCAACAAGACATCAACGACAACCAACGGCAGGAAGCTGACAAGAAGCAGTTATGTAGGTCTGTCAGGGGGTTGAATATGGTCACTTCTGTTCTTACGAATGCCATGGTTTTCAGGCAGAGGTCTGAGGGTCTGCGGGCTGCACGTAGCAGCTGGGTAGTTTGGTGGGGCGGTAAGCTCTGCACACTGAGCCACAGTGTGGGGCAGATGTCCCAGCTCCTGCTGTGTAAGCAGGGGCAGCAGGGGAATAACTCCGGGGCCCTGGGAGGAAGCTCAGCCAATGGATGCAGGGACATCTGGACATCTGGAAGAAGCACGGGAGGCTTCTTGGAGAGGAGGCCACTGGAGGCCGGATCAGGGGACCATGAAAAGAGGAAACGTGCAGAAAGCAAATGTGATGTATCCTGCTGCCCCAGCTCGATCTTCAGCTCCTGCCTGCCCCTTTGACGGTCTTCTGTGGAACATATCCTGAATCAAAAGGTTTGGCCAAAGTGCCCGGCTCCTGCCTCCAGTGTAATGTGGGGCCCATGGTCAGCGGCAACACAGCCGAAGGCCTTTAGGGTCACAGGCTACAGGCTAGCAGGGCAATCAGTCAATGGCTCCAGTGGGGACAGAGGCCGGTAACTATGCAGGAACCGATACCTCCTTAGAGGTGAGCAAAGACACAGAGGGCACCCAGAGATCCTTCCTCAAAGACCAAAGAGACACGTGAGCCATCCTAGAGCCCTGACATCATCCTGGCAGGGAGAAGAGACAAAGCGGAGACACTCTAACTGGGGGCATTTGTTCAGCTGAGATGGCTAACTTGTAAGAGACAAAGTTGCCTTTAAGTGGCAGACTTAAGCCTTGGACTCTGCCACTGGTGGGAATGGACCTCCAGAGTGAGGTTTCTGTACCGAGTTTAAATATATGATCTATCACCCCAGTACAGAAGTAGCGGTATCTACCTGACATCTTACAAAATCATACTGGCCATATTACCTGAAAATCTCAGGAAGCAAGTGCTCCCAATGTGCCCTCCTGGACGCCACAAACCCATAACATCTGAGTGGTGGTGGTGTTCGCAGTGGGCAGGCTGAAGAGGGGAGTGGCGGTGAAGGTGGAAGAGGAGAGGCCCCTTGTTTTTCATTGCAGGTCTAAGTGACAATGATGCCCCATGATCTAAAGGCCACTTTATCCCATGTGCTCTTGCTTGCTTAAAAGCATGAACAGCCAACAAGCCTAGGTGCCCCCTACGGTACCATCTCCTGGGTCTAGAGGTGGCAGAGCTGTGTGTGGGCCACCCCCCAGCCCCACCCTCTACTCCTTCCTCACCAAGATCCTCACCAGATCACACTCAGGGCAGCACCCTGTGCCCCTTCCCTCACAGCCGAGGTGGGTCATGTGACACAGCTTTGGCCAATGAGGTGTAAGTCCCCAGATGGAGCTTCTGGGAATCTCCTCATTGGGTCTGACTCAGTCTGTGGTTTTGGGCCTTTACTCTTCCCACTTTCCCTGCTGAAATGCTGGCAGGAGCTCCACAAGTCAGCTTGCAAGGACTGTGGGTGATGAACCAGAGGAAGTCTGGGGCCCTGGGCACATCACGGAGTTGCTACACCTGCTTGGACTGCCCACCTCTGGGCTTCTTTTAGTTATGAAAAAAATAGTAATAACCTCCTGATGTGTTTATTCTACTGCTTTTGGATTATGTTATTAGCAGCTCTATTAGTCTCAAGGTACTACAAACTGGGTGGTTTAAAACAACAGAGATTTGGGGCGCCTGGGTGGCTTAGTCGGTTGAGCATCCGACTTCGGCTCAGGTCATGATCTCACGGTCTGTGGGTTCGAACCCTGCTTCAGGCTCTCTGCTGAAACTCAGAGCCTGGAGCCTGCTTCAGATTCTGTGTCTCCCTCTCTCTCTGCCCCTCCCCCACTCTCTGTCTCTCAAAAATAAATAAATGTAAAAAAATTTTTTTTTAACAACAAATTTATTCTCAGTTCTGAAAGCTGTAAGTCTGGGGTCAAGGTGTCGGCAGGGCCGTGTCCCCTGGAAGTTCTAGGGAAGCACTCTTCTTTGCCTCTAGAGGTTGTTGACAATCCTTGGCATCCCTTGGCTTTGTCTCCATCATTACATGGCATTCTCTCTCTATGTTTGTGTTCAAAATCCCCTCTTTTAATAAGGACACCAGTCACTGGATTCATCAAGTCTTACCTCATGTCAACGTAATTATATCTTGTAAAGACCCTATTTACCAAAAGGTCACATTCACAAGTTCCAGACGGACATGGAATGGGGAGGAAACACTATCCGACCTGGTATGGCAGCTAAACTCTTCCCTGTTACACAGAATATAAGCCGTCCAGTTCCTTTACTGAAAGGGGGTCGAGACAGCCCCACCAATCCTCTCCTGCACGCAGAGTACAACTTCAAGTTCCAGGCTGGCTCTGGCCTGCTGTGCAGTGAGGCGAGCCAAGGGCACTCCCAGGGTGGGAGAAGAGCCCAGAGCCTTACTATCTTCAGCAGCATACCCTTTCCCAGAAACTTTTCAGCCTTATTTTTTTGGACAGGATCAAAGATCACCTTTTAGAATCTGATGAAAACCAAAACCTTCTGCCCTGAAAACCCACACATGTATATAATGTTCATTTAATTTTAAGGATTAACCTCTGCTATAAAACCTCACTATAATTTAATTTTTTCATTTAATTTTCATGATAAGCCTCTGCTGTAAAACCTCACTAGTCTCACTTTAAGGAATCCAGGGCACAGACATCCAAATTAAAACAAAGGGCACCTCTGGAGACTTAAAATTTTTGAATGCAGGAATTTTGACTTTACTAACAACAAAGTACCGGCCATGTCAATCCTTTGCCGCATTAGTTCAACTATACATTGATTTAAGGTAGCATTTATGACCATTCTATTAATATACAACTTCTCAGTAACAAATCTGCTTTCAGTTGCATCTACATGCAAAAATGGAAAAACATAATGATGTTTTCCTCATGCTTTAAAATAGTAAAATAGTAATGCAGTAATAGTAAAATAGTAAAATAGTAACGCACATTTTTCCTTATAGCAAGAGGCAGAATAAGTGATGAGATAAAGTC